TGCTATAAGAAAATCACATACTCTGCCGCTCATAGTGTGACAGTGCTTCGTAGGGATGCAGAGAAGGCTAGTAGTGTTTCCATACACCATGACCGCTTTCTCCATTGTCGTTACAATTGTCGTGGATTCATGGTGCTTAGACAGAATGTTGTGAGTGATAGGCTACGTACGGTTGGGCTACCGACCAGTGTGGCAGGTCGCCCAACTATGTAACACTCCTAATGCCAACATTTGACCATTATTGCCTTCAGTGCCCCACAGTGTTAAACTTGCTTCCAAGGTGTCAGGATCTGATCCAAGTCTCTACCTATTTGCTTCAGGATGACACATTAGATTCTCAGTCGCTAATCACACATTGGTGGATGTTAGTTGTATGCCTCTATATTTTTGTCATATTTTGTTCATGAGCCCATAGCGTGCCCTGCGAGACACGAATGCTAAGTACTTAATATTGCTGTAGTTGTTACTGGGCTTGTCGCCTTTGGGCGTAATAAGATTATCAAATAATAATCTCTCTTTTCTTATCTTTTCTTTTCCTTCTGTTCTTTTTTTTTTTTTTCTTTTTTCATTTTCTATTTTTAGTTTTCTTTTGGTAGGTACCAGGTGTGCCAGAGTGATGCACATAATACCACACACATGCTTTTTATTTCCTATTGTATTTTGTTGGACTTAAACATTTAATTTGACGAACATAAAAAAATTGTTTACAATATCATAATAACGCAAGATGATAAGAGGGTACACATAACACCAATAAAAAAATATATATTTATATACCCCTTTCAAATGTGATCGTTTTATGATCACATTCAAAAAAACAACTCCTATCGTTAATGGCCACAACACCGTCAAGGGTTATAACCACAAACTACAGAGCGTGAAGCAATGGGGCAATGAACTGGAAATGAGTGAGCTTATAAATTCCCAAAGGATATGCATCGTTTCAGAGTGCACGCAGGAGAAGGGGTGTCAACCTTGATCTAGATTATACCTCGTCCAAAAAAAAAAAAAAAAAAATGATATCCGAAGCTCAAGCCAACTTGTAATCGACATCAAACCTGTGATCATGTCATTCGCAAGGCTAAAAGGGAAAGCTTTGCATCAGATGTGGAAGCTGGGGTATCCAACATCTACCCTGACCCCAACATGGTATAACATCTTCCAGTCTTGGTTAGAAGGCTGCAGAGATAAACAACCCCTGAGGCTGTATGTATATGTGTGTGTGTGTGTGTGTGTGTAAAGAGAGAGAGAGAGACAACTACTACCCATGCCTCAATGAGCAAAGCAGAGATTTGTATAAGGAGTGTATTCAGACATTTGCCGAAAGCCCTGTGTAGGATCTCGCTATCCCACACAGTTGATTACACACATTTCACTTATAAACACATACACACACATACATACACACATACATGCATGTACATATGTGATGTATGTGGTTTATGACTTTGTACTTAATAGATTACCTTTTATCATTTATCAACAGTTTCGGTGGTAAACTAATTTTTTTGTCAGTCCCAGACCAATATTTTACTCTCTGAACCTGACTACTTTACCAGGCAGAATATGCTGAACGAATCTGGTAATATAACTATATAGATTTTTTAAGAATATGTAAGTAAATGTAAATATCAGTAATATGTTTATCGGAACGCTTATCTTCCAATTCATTATTTCTCACACTTGTTTTATATTATTACAGCAAACTCAAGATACCGAAAAAACGATATGATAAATTAGCGAAGTCGTGACTTCAATGTTTCATGTATATTTTAAAGTTATTTATATTCCTTTATCTCCCACTTTCGTTCGATACCGCGTGGCGTCTGTAATTTCTCACTGTAGTCCAGATGTGTGCACAAATGTTATTGTATTCCTTTATATATTGTGCACGTCGGATTATGAGACGTGATGTGGCCCAAAGGTAAGGGATGGCGGGAGAGTGACAGCACTTGAACGTAAATAACTTGACTCTGTTACGGAGGGGTACGACACCAGTAAATAAACACACGATACGAGAGACTGGGACAGCGCTTGAGAGGTGGCGGTAGCAGCGGAGGGCCGAGGGGTGAGGGGGGGGGGAAGGTGTTGACGGAGGCAGTGCCCGGTGGTCTCTCTCTCTCTCTTGGCTTCCGTCTCAGAGTCTGGCCGATCCTGAGTCGTGCTGAAGGGTGTCCATTTATACGGGTTTTGGTGTTTTCGGTTGAGGCACGGCTTGGTTTATGTTTAGAAAATGCGTGGATATCATGGAGTCCCTGTAAACGCGGCTTGGTCTGTGAGGTAAATGGACTTATGCGTGTGTGTGTGTGTGTGCGTGTGTGTGTGTGTGTGTGTGTGTGTGTGCGTGTGCCAGCGTTTGCACATACGTTTCTGATAAGGCTATATTTCGATTTGAAAATATATATATGAATTTCCCTCCCCAGATGGGCTTTCATTTTATTGTATTTTCTCTTTATTTTTCATCGAACATAAAGGTGCCTTTCCCTTGTACTTTAGTGGC